AAAAACTGTGAAGTGAAAATTTGTAGGCTAAAATAGGTGAGGATAGAGTGAAAGACCACCCATATCCACTTTACATGAATTATTAACCTCGTGTTCCAGAAAACTGAGTTACCAGTAAATTTTCATATGTAGTCACAGAACCTTTGGTAGTAATATGATAGGAATGATAGTGTATTTGTGAAAATTATATTCCCTTTTATAACAGACAAACCTGAAAATATTTATAATGGCTTAAATACAATAAAAGTTTCTCGTTCAAGTCTGAAATTGGCATTCCTGATTGGTAGGTTGCTATCCTCTAGTGGTGGATTCAGGGACCCAGGTTCCTTCTATTCTTGTGGTTTTGCCATCTTTACTAAATGGTTTCTTGGGTCTCCGTGCTCATCTGTTTCCAGGCTGTGGAAAGGAAAAGCCCATGGAGGGCCACCAACAGGATGTTCTTGTGGGCGGGGCCTGCAAGTTGCACACATCACTGTTGGAATCCTTCCACCGGCTAAAACTCAGTCACTTGGTCACCCCTATCGAAAAGAAAGCTGAGAAGTGTAGTTGGCCCAGGAAGGATAATAATCGGGTTTGGTGATAGTTCACCGGTGTCTACCCAGCTAATAGGAGATCTGCCAGAAAACTGTTGTTAGATGAATAATTTAAATTTCAGAAATGGGGTTGAAATGGAGTTGAAGGATATAGAAACAATACAGGCTTGAAACCACGTGGGAGGGGAAACAGTGATCACTTGGAGCCTGTACCTCGTCTTCTGCATTTAAGGCATTTAACAAACACACGATGCTGTTGGTAAGTGAGAACTGGGTGGTGGTATAATTGAGTGGATTCATACTTAAGATAATTGTGCCCAGTGAGTGGTACTCACTGCCAACCATGAAGGCAGTCTCTTGCACCGTGCCCCGTGACTCTCCTTGCCCATTCTAATTAAGTATTTTTATGAAAATCTTGACGAGAAATAAATTTGTGGCTGGCTCAGTGAAAGAAATACTGAATGATACAGCAGATGAAAGAATCAAGAGTAGTTTCAAAATGATCTCAGCAATCTAGAACATAGGTCAGCAGAATTTTTCTGAAAACAGCAAGGGAGTAAATAATTTAGGTTTTTGGGTCATAAGGTCTGTGTCACAATTAGTCCTCTCTGCTGTTGTAGCCCCAAAGCAGCCATAGACAGTACATAAATGAACTGGTGTGGCTGTGTTCCAACAAAACCAAATTTACAAAAATAGCTGCCAGGCCAGATTTGACCCATGGGCCATACTTTGCTGAACTCTGATCTAGAAGTATAGGCTGAAATCCGAAGGCAATAAATCTAAGTGTGTTCATTTAAGGCCAAAGACCAGTGGGCCTGACAGGTTACATACTGTGTTTCCCCCAAAATAAAACCTAACCAGAAAATAAGCCCTAGCATGATTTTTCAGGATGCTCGTAATATAAGCCCTACCCCAAACATAAGCCCCAGTTAAGATCATCAGCCAGTCATGACTGTTTGAATAAGTGTAGATTTTTGTACATGAATAAATGAATAAATGTAGATTGTTGGAGCAAAAATTAATATAAGACCTGGTCTTATTTTCGGGGAAACACGGTATATGATATCCTTTCTAATCATAGTAGAGCTACAAGATAGGCATGATTTGCTCTTATTTTATGAATAAGAAAGCTAAATCTCAAAATTAGTAGTTTGACCTGGCTTTCATATCTGGATAACAATTTATGGGACATCGCGCCACTTAAAAATGGGTGAATTGAGAGAGTCACAATTAATTGCTCAGGTCAAAGATGGAGCAGTTCATGTGGCAGCACTCCCTGTAGGAAAGCCCTGGGCTCTTCTGGCTCAGTTCTGATCCAAGTGTGTGACGTTGAGAGACTTGCTTGACTTCTCCAGGCTTTGGCTAACAAAGCAATAAAAATAAGAGGCTCAACTAGATAAACACCACGGCTTTCTTCTCAAGTCCAACAGGGTTACGATTAATATATATTAAGGGAATCATGTGAAAGAGAATTGAGACTTACTCTTAGTAACTCTAAAAGCAATTCTTTTAAAACTTTTCTAATGTAGTTTTATATAAAACCAACATATAAAACATAAAAATGCAATTTTATGAGCCTGTGTTTTATAAGTTCAAATTTACAAGGTGTGATAAAAAAATACGGTGAATTTTTAAATTAAAAAAATATATATTACAGTAAAAGACACATTGTCATTAATCTCCCTCACAATATGCCCCCTTGCTTTGAACACACTTATCCCATCATTCTTGCCACTTTCTGAAGCAGTTCTGGAAGTCCTCTTTCGTGTCTTTAGTTGCACTGTTGTGGCTGCTTTGATGTCTTGAATCAATTCAAAACGTTTACCTTTGATGGTCATTTTGACTTTGGGGAAGAGCCAGAAGTTTCACGATGCCAGATCCGGTGAATAGGTGGGTGAGGACACACCATAATGTTTTTATTTGACAGAAACTGCCGTATCAGAATTGATGTGTGACATGGAGCGTTGTCAAGATGGAGGGTGAAGTAAAGACACTCATGAAATAGGACTTCCAGAACTGCTTCAGAAAGGGCAAGAATGATGGGATAAGTGTGTTCAAAGCGAGGGGGTGTATTTTGAGGGGGATTAATGGCAATGTGTCTTTTACTGTAGTAATATTTTTATTTAAACATTCATTGTATTTTTTTATCACACCTCTCATAATATTTTCTGAGTATAAAGACATGTATTGAGAAACTTAGGCTGATATGCATGAACCTGAAGTTTTAAACTGGGAGTGATAGATGATCGATGGATTATTTTTAGCATCAGCGCCTCAGAGTTCTACTCATTGTGTGTTGCATATTTGTCTGCTTACTGGCTTTGGTTGTATAATCTCAAGAAAATCCTTATTATTTCTTGAGCAACTGTGTGCTGTAAACTTGCGACATTAGACATCTCACCTACCATTGAAGCCTCATATGAATCATATGAAGTAGGTACATTCGTTCCCGGTTCCTTCTATCAACTTACCAAACTGGTGGGTCTGCAGATATCCTCTATGGCCCTCTGGGGGTCTGCTTCCATCAGTCCAGTCTGCTCCAATTTGTTTATGTGGACATGCAAAATTTACTTTGAACAGAGAGTTTCATGGCTAGCAAGTTAGGAAACTACCGTTTTATACTACGGAGCCTCCTGAGCATCTAGAACTGTCCTTTATAGTCCTGTATATTTATGATTGAAAAGTCAGGAAATCACTGGAAATTCATAATCGCCACCTGACTTTTTCTGGAGGGAAGCAACCTTTTGCTGAAGTTATGAATATCCTTGCTTTGGAAAACGTAGCTTTGTTTTATGATTTACTTATAACTTTATGGTAAACAATGGAGTTAATATCCCTGTTTCCAGGAGACCTTTAGCTTGTACTTTCACTAACATAAACAACATCCATAGTGTGAAAAGGGGAGACAGAATAAAACATTTGCATTCAAAAATGCACTTGGAAAGGCTGATCAAGTGGCTCAGTTGGTTAAGAGCTCGCTCAAGAGTGCGAACTCTGTGCAACAGGGTCGCTGGTTCAATTCCAGGCCCGAGCTGAGCTGTCGCTGAGCTGCCAACAGGTGGCAGGATGGCTCAGCTTTAAAAAAAAAAAAGAAAAAAAATGCACTTGGTTTATTCCCCCAAACCCATAAAAACTAGTCTAATCATGCGAGAAACATCAGATAAAACAAAATTGAGGGGTATTATACCAAATATCTGACCAGAACTCCTTAAAACTGGTAAGGTCACCAAAAGCAAGTGAAGTTTGAGAAACTGTGAAAGCCAAAGAGCCTAAGAAAACATGACTCCTAATTGTATTGTGATATCCTAGATGGGACTTTGGAACAGAAAAAGGACATCGGGTTCAAGCTAAGGAAATCTCAATAAAGTACAAACTTCAGACAATAATAATATATCAATACTAATTCATTAATTGTGATAACTGTATATATAATACTAATGTAAGATATTAAAATAGAATTATGAGAAAAAAAGAAAATCCTTATACATGCAGTGATAAAATAATTTAATAGTTTTGCAATCTAAGAAAACTCATCAGAAACAGAAAATCTGAACAGGCCAATTACTACCAACAAAACTGAATCAGTAATCAACAAGCTCCCAACAAACAAAAGCACCCCTATGTTTACTGCAGCGCTATTCACAATAGCCAAGATATGGAAACAACCGAAATGCCCATCAATAGACGGTTGGGTAAAGAAACTGTGGTACATTTATACAATGGAGTATTACTCTGCCACAAAAAGAATGAAATATTACCATTTGCAATAACATGAATGCACCTAAAGAATATTATGCTAAGTGAAATAAGTCAGACTGAGAAAGACAAATAGCATATGATCTCACTTATATGTGGAACCTAAAGAACAGAATAAACGAGCAAACAAAACAGAAATGGACTCAGAGATGCAGAGAACAAACTGATGGTTGCTAGATGGGGCAGGAGGTTGGGAGATGGGGGAGAAGGTAAAGGGATTAGAAAGTACACATTGTCAGTCACAAAATAGTCACGGGAATATGTAATAGAGTATGGGGAATATAATCCATAATGTTGTATAGATTGCGCAGGGTACCAGATGGGCACTGGACTTATCGGGGGGATCACTTCATAGACTGTGTAGCTGCCTGACCACTGCAGTGTACACCTGAAGCTGATGTAGAATAATACCGAATGTCAACTATAAATAAACAATATATATATATATATATATATTGTTTACAATATATAATATATAACAATATATAACAATATATATACAATATATAACAATATATAACAATATATATATACAATAAACTATATATATATATATGTATATATATATATAGTCACGGGATGTAAAGTACAGCATAGGGAATAGAGTCAGTGGTATAGTAACAACTATATACGATGTCAGAGGGATAGTAGATTGCGAGGGGGGTTATCGCTTTGTGAGGGATGTAAATGTCTAATTATTATGTTGTTTTGCATACCTGAAACTCATAAAAAAAATGAGAGAGAAAACTCATCAGAATACAGAAATGGCAAGAGAAGCCTGAAAAACAAAATGCATTAATTTGACAATTTAAATCAGGTAGTCTTAAGTATATCAATTTGGCATACATGATAAAAATAAATGTTAATTAAGCATTTGCAAAAATCCTATCGGTCAAGGTAGGCTAAGTTTATGCTATGGTACTAAATGAACCCCCAAACCTCAGTGGCTTGCTGTTTATTTCTTGTTCATGTTATTGGATTGTCGGAAAAGTCATGATATATTTTTTCTATGTTTTTCGTTGCAAAAATGCGTTATGACTTTTCCGACAACCCAATACATGTCCAGTTCAGGCTGAGGTTTGGAGGAGGGCTCTGATCCACATAGCTTCTCGGGGATCCAGGTGGTTGGTGATGATGGCTCCACACTCTCACAGCTATACCATCTGGAGCAGGTAGCATCTTTAGTTGCTGAGGTGGGCAAAGGCACCTGCAGTGCAAAACGGGCTGTTTTTTACACGTGAGCATAAAAGCACATGCGTCACTTCTGCTCCGTGTGGCCCCAGTCTCATGGCTCTATTTCAGAAGTGAATGTGTGATTCATATGAACTAAATAGGCAAAAGCATTTGGAAGAGCTATTAAGGAGCAGGTCTCAAACATATATTATAGTCGAAAAATGCCGGTTCCCGCGCCCCTATCCTACAACCCTAGAATCAGGATCTCTGGGATATAGTTGGGAAATGTGCCTTTTAGAAAATGTCGCACAGCTGAGTCTCATTACCAACAGGAAGCTACTGCTGTGCACAAGAGAGTGTTTTTGAAGTAAAGGCAACGATTAGCCATGTGGATTTCAGGTTACCCTGGCTGCAGTGTTAGAGATGGATTCAAGAGGTAAGAAACTAGAAGCAGGGGGATTTCATGTCACACAACATATACAGTTTAATGAGAAACATAAATGTGTGTGCTTATGTATCATGCAATGTACTAGCAGGACCAGCTCAAGAGAGTCTAACGTAACAGTGCTGTTGTTAAGTGTCTCTGTATATTTTAAGAATCTTCTCCCCACCTCTTCCTTCCTTGACGCCCATCCAGTACGGTAGGCACAGAGTGGCTGCCAACCAGTCCTGTTCACTTCATTCACTAAATGTTCTGCGTGTCCAGGACGCCCATGGTGTTGGCTGTAGAGCCAGGGCAGCACCAAGAGGAGTCCCTGGATAGGAAGTAGAGGATGGGGGAGGTGGGCGTGGCCTGCTTCTCTCCAGAGGTTGTTCCCAGAGGTTGCTGGAAGAGGTCCAACTTTTCTTCAGGCCTGACAGGGCAGCACAGAACCTGGTTAATATTGCTGGGTCTTCTGCCTTCTGGGTTAGGAGTAGATCTGCGCTGGGAAAAAGTGACCAGTGCATGATTCTTTTGAAAAATAAATCTATCTGGTCAGTGCTGGATCAGTTAAGGATTGACCATCCAGGCCTTGGTTTCTCCTCTTCCATCTGCCTGTATGTTGGCTGATTCACCTGGCAAGCCCCCAGCTAACATCAGACCTCTTAGAATGACGATTATCAAAAAGACAACAGATAACAAATGTTGGCCTGGATATAGAGAAAAGGGAAACCTGGGCACCACTGGTAGGACTATAAGCTGGTACAGCCACTGTGGAAAACAGTATGGAGGTTCCTCCAAAAATTAAAACTAGAACTATTCCATTTATATGAAATGTCTGTTAAAGGCAAATCCATAGAGACAGAAAGTAGATTAGTGGTTGCCTACACCTGGGGGGGCGGGACTCGGAAGTAACTGCAAATGGGTAAGAGGTTTCTTTTTGGGGTGATAAAGACGTTCAGAAATTAGATTTTGGTGATGGTTTTATCAACTGTGTAAAGTCACTGAATTTGTATACTTTTTTAAGGTGAATTATATGGTTTGTAAGTTATGTCAATAAAAGTATTTTTAAGATGAGACAAAGAGTTGCTGGAGGAGGCAGATATGGAATATAAGGAAACTTTTTTTTAAAGACGGAAGGGATTGATGTGGGTGATATAGGTAGGATGAGGGGGAGAAGCCAGAGTGGAGAGAGAGAAAAATAATACAGCAGAGAAGAATAAGAAGCTTGGCAAGTCCTGGATCATTACACCAGACTAAGATCAAGCCTTAGTTTGCAGAAGGAGAAGCACTTGCAGGAGTAAGGACTTCCTTCCTTCTGTGGCAAAATATGGAGATGAACTTGTAGACTGAAGAGAAAAAGGGAAGAAAAGCGAGAGTGTTCATTCATGTTTGGGGATGAATTGGGTAACATCAGGAGAATGGTGACAGTTCACACAACAAATGTGAATATTAGAAAAGATAGCTGAGTATATGAGTAAAAGGATTTTGAAGCCATTAGGGCTTAGCTAAGTTTAAATGAAAAATTGTACAGTACTTAATCATCAAGGTTATACATTCTTTTCTCCAGCAGCTTTAACTTTCCATGAAATAGAAGCAGAAAATATTGATGGATTAACTGCCTGTAAAACTGTATTTGAACTGGTAGAGTACAGGTTCCTGCTAAGGTTGGATGTAAAAGTGCCGATTTAATCAGGCATAAACTATTCAAACACGGATATGATTATTACAAGCTAAATGACAAATTTCAAGGTGTAAAACATCTTAGAAAAATAATTTCAATTCATTAATCAAGATTAGACTTAAGTCATTGAAATTTGATTTTTAAAGCTTACTGAGCTTCTATGAGACCTCAGAAGTGGAGCTAAGCATGATAATGCTTCCTTATCAAATGGAAACCTCAGAAAAGCCAGAAGCCACTTACCATTCTACCAAATGGGTCCATAGTATTGTAGGTACAGAAGGAAGTCCGGAGCAGTGCTCTCCCATGAAGCACATCTGAACACATAGATGATCGTTGATAGGCATATTCCTGGGTCCTCTCTCACAAACACGTGAATTCCACTCTGGGGTACAGCCCAAACCTTCTGTATTATAACCAGTTATAAAGGCGATGCTGATGTTAGAATGGTGACACATCTCTCCAACCTGGTAAGAATTTAAGCTGAAATGGTGATAGTGGGAAAAAGATCAAACATTTTTTGTTTGTTTTTAAAGGGGGTATAGTCTTTAATGGTTCGGCAAAAATCTTAAGTCCCTGAAAGATTTTCTGTACTCCATTGTTTGGTATGATTAGCTCTTCACCTTCCTAAGTAATTTAAACCTTTTTTTTTTCAAATACATTAATAAATTGGTAATTCCAAGTAAGAAGGTTTATTTATATAATGTGTGGGGAAACCTACCAGAGCTATACACAGACGTGAAAGGAAGAGAAACAAAATCGGGTTAGTCAAGGTCTGTCAAAAGTCTTGCTCTGACGAAAGGAGGGTAAGGGTGACTCTAGGGCCTTTAATTACTTTGCCTTACAGGACCAGATTCATGAAATGTCAAACCTAACAATCAGTTCACCATGCCACAACGAACTTTAAACGTGACTATCAATGCTTTATTTTACGAAGCTGAGCTCTTTCCTAATGCATTTTATCTGGATTGGTTTTAACTATGACTGCAGTTGTACCTTAAAAAACGAATCTTCCCATCTTCCTCCTCTCCACCCCGCCCCTCAAAATTACCAGCTGCAAAAGTTTCACGTGGATCGTGCGCCTCCCGCAAATACAGACACATACACCCCCACATAGAAACTTTGGACACATAAAAACTTTTTCACGCCGCCCTTCTAGGCCCCCAAAGCCTCCAGCAAAGCCTCCCCTGTGCTATTTTCCGTCCCCGTTTAGTCTTCCGGCCCCAAAGTTCGGCCTCCTCACCCTTCCCAAGCGGTCCTAAAAGTCTGGTCCGGCCCGACGGGGCGGGGCAGGACGGGGCGGGGCGGGCCTGCTCCATTGGGGTCGGACGGGTGGGGGAGGTGTGGATAGGACCGGTCCGGCTTGCTTAAAAGCCGTCAGCTTTTCGACCTGCATCTGTTCTAGGAAGGATGTACCTACTTGAGAAGCTTAAGTTCAGCCTGGCTTGGCCTTTGGAAGCGAAACGAAAAACTTTTTAAAACTTTTGTCCAGGTTCTGCTCCCCCGGCGCGTGGTCTCCTGATGGTTCGCTCCGGGGACACGCTAGGGACGCCTTGCCCCCCTCCCCGCCTCCAGTGAGGCGCGCTGAGCCCCCGCCCGGGGGTCGGGTTGGACTGGTGGACGGACGTGCGCCGAGTGGGCGCTGCCGGGGAAACCGTCGGCCTTCCCGGGCCGGTGCCCCGCGGCAGCATGGACTACCTGACCACCTTCACGGGGAAGAGCGGGCGCCTTCTACGGGGCACGGCCAACCGCCTGTGGGGGTTCGGGGGCGGCGGCGAAGCCCGGCAGGTGTGCTTCCAGGATTACCTGAGGGATCCCGCCCAGGGGGACCCCGGGTGCGGGTCCCCGCCCCACCGGACCCCCGTGCCGTCCAGCCCAGAGGGACCCGGTGAGCTCAGCCTTCCTTGGCCTCCCGCGCGGTAGACCCCGGCTGAAGGCTGCGAGTGGGCGGCGGTCTGGGCGCTGGGTCCGGGTGCGCGGCCGGGGCAGTCGCCGCAGGGGAACTGGGGGGACAGGGTTCGAGCGGCCGAATGGCTGGTGTGCCTGGGCCAGGGTGGCGGCGGGGCGGGGGTGAAGAAGGTAGCACGCAGTCTGCTCTGGGGACGGGAAACTTTCTACTGTTGGCGTCGTAGCTCTCTCTCTTCCTGCTCTGCCCTTCCTGCTTTCTTCCCCTAGACTCGATGGTCTGTACCCCAAGTATTTCAGGGGTGTATATGTGATCCATTCGCTGTTCCCTTCCCCTGGGAGGTGAATATGACTAGTGTTGTTCGTCTTTGAGACCATGAAGAACACCGTGCCTAGTCTGGTGTGGGTTTGGGTCAGTGTTGTTGACATTTGCCAACTGTTAGGATTCACGTCAGCCCTTAATACTGCTTTGGAAAAGAAAACACTTAAACTGGGATTTCGTTGATATTTGTGTCATGGATTTTGAAAAGCTGCATGTTGGTCTTGAGGTGGCAGAACCTAGAAACTTTTTTTCTGTTGCATTTATACTGACTGCTGTGTTAGTTTTCTTTCATCATAGTGGCTTTGCAGGATTCTTTAAGAAAAAAAAAAACACCAATCATAATGGTATGATATTGGTATCTTATGGAATTTTGAAAAGCGCTGGCTGAAGAGGTATTAGCACTGGTAACTTCTCCAGTGTCGTTGGCGTCCTCTAAGTTAATACGTGGCATTTATATTTTGTTTTGTTACTTATTTTAATATGCATTTTGGTATTATGAGTAATTATATAAGCATTAAAGAGTCTAGAAAATAGAGGAAAGCACAGAGAATATAAAATCTCCCCATTACCCCAAATCCTGCCATTCATTTTAAAGCAGTGACACAGTGAGGACATCTATTGATCTGTGTGTCTAGGTGTGTAACTTAAGCTTTGAAGAAACTTGAATATTAAAATCTAATTTTAGCATGATCCCCATTTAATAATTTTCCTCACGTTACATAAAATGTCTTTAGAATTCCTATTCATGGAATTAGAAAATGAAAAAGGGGGATACTACTTTGTTTCTGCTTTGAAGGATCTTAACCAGATAAGGAATCCTTTTTAAAGGTGAGATCAGGGATGAGGGTTGGAACTTTATAAAGTGTTTGAATAAAGGATTTTTATAAAATGCATTAGTTGCCTATTGAAAACAATTGAAGTGTGACCAGCCTCTATAGATAGACGGAGAATTCAGAAACGTGGTGAAACTAGGTAGGAATATGATCCACATTTTAATAAATATGCCCAAACATATACATGCAATTCATTCGTTCAGAAATATTTGTTGAGCACACTGCCATATCTGACACTGTCCTTAAGAATTGCAGCTCCAAAGTACTATAGCAATTACTCTTCTATTGAAACTGACTTATGAACTCATGGCACATTATTTTTTAAATATTTTTTATTAAATTTATTGGGTTAACATTGGATAATAACATTATATAAGTTTCAGGTGTACAATTTTATATTACATCTGTATATTGCATTGTGTGCTCACCACCCAAAATCTAGTTCCTTCTGCCACCAGATATAATATCTGACCCCCTTTAATATTCATGGTGCCCCCAAATCTCTAACACAAGTTAGAGAGGCCTTGTGATGTCACAGTTATGACCACCATTAGGTGAACAGGCACATCCTAGAGTGCACATTCAACATTAACCTGCTGAAAGACTTTGCACAAGCTAATCTCTTTTAGCCTATATTTTCTTGTTTGTAAATGAGATTGATTGGATGATCTCAGAGGTTCTCAATTCTAGAGCTTGTTTTCATTTGGAATAGAACTAGTGAAAATGATGGGTGGTAAAGCTGGAAAATAGCATTTGGGGCTAAAAACGTTGTAGGTCTATGAAGTTATACCCAGAATTCTGAAAGCAGGTTAATAAACGCCCCAGCAATAATTTGATCACTCCCTGCCATTCTTAGAATAAGTATAGCTTCCTAAATTGACTCCTTTGAGAGGCAACATGTACATATATACAGGTGAAAAATAAATAGTGGTTGATTTCTAGTCAGCCTTTGCGTAAAATGAGAAATCTATTCTTTGCGGCTGCCTACCAGATGGGTTTGGCTGTAGGGTTTTTCTTTACATTCGTGTTCTTCAGAATGAGCACTTGTCAGTCTGTTTGAAGGATTTATCTTGCCCTTTCTGCTGTGACTTTCCTTATTTCAGAGTTTTATAACAGCTCTTTAAGTTTCCTGTGGCCTTCAAGTCTTTAAAGTCCTGTCTATGTAGCAGCATTTCCTGTACAGATACTTCACCACACTTGCAGATTAGCTGCACCCCAGTACACCATTTGTTGCTAGTGATCTTGCCCCTCACCATACCATGTTCATTAGTGATGTAGAAAAAATAGTTTTACCATTGACAGATTGAAGATGGACCAGATAAAGCTTTGGTCAAATGTTTCTGATTTTACTGTTTTATAAACAAACTATGTACTGGACTGTTAGTGTTACTCATGCCTCTTTACTCCTCTCCAAGGTGACTGCTTGTCCTCTTACCAGCTTTTAGTGTTTGCTGACTCCAACATTATAGTTCCCTCAGGAAAAACATAATTGAGACTTAGACACATTAAGGAGCTCATCACACCATTGGTCTAGTTAATAGCAATTACAAAAAACAAACAAACAAAAAAGCCTTATGAGACAATTCTTGTTCCTGCTGTTAAAGAGTAAATTATGATTTGATTCAGAAAGATTTCTTTGGAACTTGAGTATAGCTGTTGTTTGGGGACATGATCATAAGCCTATATTATGTAGTCTTTAAAATTATTCACTTCATTAGATCATTTGCTAATAAATAAATGCAGATAAATACATTTAACAAGTTTAGAGTCTCAACTTACTGTCATACAGTTTTTATTATAAACTGCCATTTTATGTCAACTGTCTTTTCCTACTTAGTGACAGTATACTTTAAACACGTCTCAATCCTATTAAATTTTTTTTATTTACTTTTAGCAATTAAAACAGTATCTTTCAGGAGGAAATGGCAACAGGAATAAAAGCTGCTAAGAACATTTTCTATGCTGCAGGCACTAGTAAATATCTTTATTTAATCCTGATAACAACTCTGTACAATAGGTATTATTCCATTTTCCTGATGAAGAAACTGAGCCAGACAAAGAAATAAGGGATATAGAATCAATTTGGATGTTACCTTCTTATTTCTACAAATTATGGTTCTGTCAGACAGAAAAAAATTGTGTGAGAAGAAAGCAGAATTCTGTCATGTATGACGTTAAAGCAAGTTAAGTAAAGGATAAGATGGATTATCATTGAAATTTCTTTGGAGTTAGAAAGATAGTAAAATGATTGAGCTGAAATGCAAAAATCCATTGAAGCTGTTAGAATAGTTAGAGATCGTATATTAGGTTGGAAATTGCAGATGCACGTTCTGAAAGAGTTAGATAATAGTTTATCCTGAACCCAGGAAAGACTAAGTACCTCTAAAGGATTTGGAGTACCAGTTATTTCACTGACTACAGTTTAAGTACTGCAACATGGTGTTTTGGTCAACGACAGACAATATAGATGATGGTGGTCCCATAAGATATCAGAGCTGAAAAATTCCTATTGCCTAGTGACGTTGTAGTGCAACCCATTACTCACATGTTGGTGGTGATGCTGCTGTAAACAACCCCCCTACGCTGCCAGTTGTACATAAGTGTAGTCCATACAGTTATGTCAGGTGCATAACACTTGATGATAATAAACAACTATGAGTATGCTACTGGTCTTTGTATTTACTATACTATATGTTTTATTGGTAGGGTGTGCTTTCTACTTATAAAAAAACACAAGTTTGTTGTAAATCAGCGCCATGTTACGCCAGCAGCAGCCTCATACATCTTGTGTTTACCACATCTTTTGATTGCATCATTTTCTCTTGTGCTTGAATTAATCTCCTGTTATTTAGATACACAAATACCATTGTTACAGTTGCTTACAGCATTTGGTACAGTAACATGCTGTACAGGTTTTTGTCCAGAAGCAATAGGCCGCACCATAGAGCCTAGGTGTGGAGCAGGCTCTACCATGCACAATAGGTTTGTAAGTACACAGTATGATGTTCACAGAATCGCCTAACGACGCATTTCTCAGAATTCACCCTGTTGTTAAACGATGCATAACTATTTAAAAACAGCTCAGTGTTGGTCAGTAATGGAGGATGATAACTAGATGTCTGCAGTCTTAGTCCCATTTCCTAAAGTGGGTGGTAAGAGGTGGGGAGAAGAATCTCTTCTCAATAAATAACCTCAGTGTGCTCTGATGGTAACTCCAACTAAATTTGAGTTCATAATATTGTTTCCTTAGTCCAGTGGTTCTCAAGCATGAGGTAGGTTTGCCTGTTTTTGTATTGCCACTCATCTCACAGGATAGCTGTGAAGTCTTGTTTTATCTGTGTTTTAGAAAAAACTGCCTCTGAGTAGTTGAGGCTACAATAAAGCAATGACTTGCAAACTTTAGGATGCCTCAGAATTACCTGAAAGACTTGTTAAAGCAAAAATTTTACACCCTTCCCCCAGAGTTTTGATTCAGTACTAGTGGGCTGGGCCCCAAAATTTGTATTTCTAACCATTTTTTAAGTAATGCTGATGCTACTGGTCTTGGGACCACACTTTCACTCCACTTTCTGTAGTGGGTAAATATTTTATCCATGCTAAGGTTAGAAGCATATATATAGAAATGATGAAATTTATTGAATTCTTATTAGTGTTAACATTTTTATTAAGGTTATGAATAATCAGTGTATTTGATCTTTAACATATTTGTTAGATTTCAGAGAATTAGG